GAGAGAGAGAGAGAGAGAGAGAGAGAGAGAGAGAGAGAGAGAGAGAAAAGGAAAGAAGGAAAGAAAGAAGGAAAGAAAGAAAGAAAGAAAGAAAGAAGAAAATGGTAACAATCACAGCCACCCAGTGCTTGCATGAATTAGTTCATCAGTCCTCACAAGCACCCTGAGGACAGGCATCACTTTCATCCCCATTTTTTTGACAGGAACCAGGGGTTAGGATGATGCTCTTGCCTTACTTGGAGCACCCAGCAACAAAGTACTAAACTGCAGTTCAGAACCAGGGATCCGCCGGCCTGCGATACTGACCACTGAGACCTGCAGAGCTAAACCTTTTCAAATGCTTTCCTGCTCACCAGAGAACCGTGGGAGCGCTCCGCATGCAGGCAAGGGCCGCACTTGCCAAAAGAACAGTCCCGCGTGGATGGGCCCATGAAAGATCTCCCTACTTCTGCTCATCGGTCCTGCAGCAGGAAACCAGATTGCTATCTGCCAAAGAAGCGGATCTAGGACAGAAGCTACCAGACTCTGAGCAGCATTTAAAAATAATTCTATTTAGTGAGTCACTGTCAAATATAATGTATAATGCTGCTTATATAATGATGTAGGCTCCTTGCGAAAAATTTGGAGAAGCAGGCAAGTGTCACGAGATGTGTAATATACAAACTGATCAGAGGATACTGTTGATATTAGAATGAATCTCTTTAATAATTCCTGCGTATTTAAATATAAACATGCTCTAGTGGATTGACAACTGGTGGTCAACTTATAACACTCAGCTGAACTGAGTAAGCGTGGTGCTGGGTATGGGAGGCCCACCTGGGGACCTTTGCCAGCAGCACAAAAGGCAGAACTGGAGAAGAAGGAGGAAGCCTATTGGGAGATAGCAGAAGCTGCTGGGAGCCTGTTGGAAGTGGAGAGAAGCGATAAGGAGCTGCTGGTTTTCTTGGAGGAGCTCGTCATGTTGGCTTTCCTGATGAACTCGGCTGTTTTCATCTTTCAAGGCGCTCAGGACCTTGTTGTCGCTGAGAATGGCTTCGGTTCACTTTGGGGGAGCTCTGGTCCTCACTCTGAACATCGCTTCCTGGCTCTGGAGGGGAAGATGGTGCACTACCAGTCTCCTGAAGGTTGTCATATTGGCTTTCCTGATGGGAACTCAACTATCTTCACCACTGAAGGAGCTCGGGACCTCACCGTTGCTGAGGATGGTTGTGGTACTTTTCGGTGGAGCTCTAGTTCTTACTTTGAGCATCACTTCCTGGCTCCAGTGCAGATCCTTTATCCCACTGGCACAGACTTTGTAGATTTCACCACTGACCTTTGGGCCTTCCAGTGCAGATCCGTGAAACAGGCCTGCATGAGCTATTGTCATGGGTTCTGGGCCTCCAGCTGGACTCCTGGGAGGCATTGTTATGGGCTCTACGTCTTCAGCTGGACTCATGCAGGACATTATTGTGAGATCCAGACCCTCAGCTGGATTCTTTGTTCTTAGTGTATGGACAGGTTTCCTGTACTGTGTTTGTATATGATTCTTTGGGTGACTATTATAAATAACCTTATAAAATATGTGTCCTGTATTATATTGTTCACCTTGTAATAAGCCCCAAACTGCAACACATGCAAACACAGACTATGTTGCTGTGTATAAACATTTAGGCAACATTTACATTTAATGCTATAATCCATATTGCATTGTTTTGCACAACTGTACTTAGGTAATAATTCATGTTATTCATTTTCCCCTTAATGTTGTTCTAAACATTTCCTCCAAATAATCCCCATTTATGGAAACACTTTTTTAAAGATTAAAATTGCAAGCATGGGGCTGGGCCGTAGCTCAGTGGCACAGCATCGCCTGACGTGTGTGGAGCCCTGGGTTTGGTCCCCAGCACCATAATAAATACATTAGTTAAATTAATGATAAAAAAGGATTACAAATCAAATTGTAGGAACGATTTTCCATCGTGGCTGCATTTTAAATCTGTATAAATTGGAACCTTTTGAGTTGATCTGCTTCACGTTTTAGTGATTATAAATAGTGCTGGGAGAAGCATATTTGTGTACAATTTTTGTCTAGTTTGGCCTGTTTCTCCAACCTAGGATTCTAGAAAGGGCGTTATTTTGTTAACAAGGATGGTTTTCTTAAGGAACTTCTTATTTCCTCTGCTGTTTTTCAGAGCGGCTGTGTCTTCATCTGACCATCACCCATGTACAAAGGAGCTGGCTCTGCCTCAGCTTTGCAGGGTGCCGTTAAGAACAGGTATTTGCTTATTTAACTAGTTTAGCAATAGAGGTTTTATGTCAGTTTGTGGTTCTTTGCTACCGTAGTTGACGTTTTTTTCCCTCCATATTTCTTGGCAATCAGGTTTTCTTTTTGCATGACTTATCTATAGATGTTCCCTCTAGTCTTTTAAAAGGTCTATCATAGCATTTTACGTGACGTTGTGGGCCATAGTTTGTAGAAATTTTGTAAGGGATTCTTCTAGGGTGGAGAGAGCAAGGATGAAGCCCCCGGCTTTGTGACAGCACTTCCAGAACCCAAAATGTGCTCGCTTTTTTCTGGGCTCTGGGCTTTGTTAAAAACACTTGATGTTCATTTGCGCCTGAAAAGAGTCATTTTCGTAAATGCATGCTGTATTTTGTTCTAAATAACTGTAGGTTGATTGACCCTGTTGTAAAATGATTTCTTTTCAGAAACTTTTTCGTGGACACAAGGTACACTGGGTTTCTAACTCTTTTCATTTTCAGCTGCGCATTGTAGTTCTATCTACAATGTGCCAGAAACATGATCCCAATTTCTGGTATGAAATATTGAGCTCACAGAGGTATGGATGGCCGACGTGGTTAGGTCTTCATCTTCAAACATTTCACTTTCATTTACATCAATTTATTTATTCCTACATATAATAATGCACATAATATGCTTTTACTTTTCTGAGAATTTAAATGTATGTTTTAATAATATAAACTTTTATTTTAAAAAAGCTTACAGATTATTTCTAAATAATTATGGAAAAAATAAATATTTCCAGGTTTAGAGTTGCATTGGAAAAAGTGAGAGTAGTGGTTGGCTCAGACTGATTAAAATTACACATTATGAGAGCCTCCATTTAACTTTATAATCAACATGTATTCTTCCTTCAGAAAATGGTTATCTTACTGAGAAGAACAGGTTAACTAACCAAATTCTAGAATTCCCTAGTGAAATTCTCTTAGGCTCCAATTTTACAAATTTATTTGAAAACCCTATATGACTGGTTTCTTTACTTAAAAAATAAAATAAAAGCAAAACTAGTATGGTGGTGTACACCTGCAATCCTGGCACTCATGAGGCTGAGGCAGGAGGATCTCTGCAAATCCAAGTGACACCCTAAACTTCATAATGAGACTCTGGCTTAAATAAATAAAGGAATAAATGAATATATAAATGAGAAGTAAAGTAGAAAATATAAGGAATTTTTAAAATATAGTGGGTAACATTCAGGTCTTGATATTGACTTTAACAGCTTTACAATATTTAAATTAGAAACAGCAAAACGGGAAAGTAGAACTATTTATATATTTATTTAATTTTTTTATTTTTACCAGGCTGTGTTTGCAGTGCACACTAGCTCCCTCCTCTGTGGGGAACTGGGGCATCCATACCACACACCTCCATTCTTTTCTTTCCTTCCTCTCTTCTCTCACCCTCCCTTCACCCATTGATCCCTTCCCCTTTACAAACTCCTACCTTCCTGTTTCCTGTTTTCCTTGTTTATTGTTGCTTTTTGTCTGTTTGTTTATTTGTTAGAGATAGGGTTTCACTATGTAGCCTAGGCTGGCCTACAACTTATAGAGATCCTCCTGCCTCAGCAACCTGAGTGCTGGGATTGCAGACCTGAACCACCACGCCTGACTCCTATTATCTTTTTTTGTTGTTGTTCTTTAATGTATTTGTATTTCGGGTTTTTTATATAAGAGAAAGCATGTAATTTTTAAGTTGTATGTCTGATTCACTTCACTTAACGTTATAGTCCCAAGGCGCATCCATTCTCCTACAAGTGACTCAGCTTATCCTTCTTTGTGGCAGAGTAGTGCTCTACTGTATGTGCATGCCACATTCTCTTTATCCATTCGTCTGTTGATGGACGTATAGATCCCTTTTGAGATTTAGTACTATGAGTGTGCTGCAATAATAACACGGGGGCGTCCAGGGGTCTGCATCACTGACGCTCGGCCTCACTGCTCCTGTCGGGATTTCTGCACGATACTTATTTATTCTGACGCGTTAAACATTAGTGAATGCACGAGTATTCGCGCTCATGGAAATGGGACAGAGATAAAATACATGAATAATTCTCCCCGGTGGAATCAGAGCGAGCCCGCTGACCAGCACAGGGACGGAGCGTCCGATAGAGCAGGCCTGGTGGAACGGAAACGTGACCGCGGGAGCTGCCGTCCACACCGCCTTCGAGCAGAGGGCTGCTGAGAGTCAGGGAGACGACCAGCTTCGTGTCAGGGACACTTCCCCGCCGGAGTTTATACTGGGCTGAGCGAGACGAAAGGCGGAACATCGGCGAGGCGTCGCTGCGTTATCCCACCCAAGAGCTTTGGGTTCTGTGTCGCCAGGCTTTTACGGTCATGGTTAGGGAAGTTTTTAATTCTAGCAGAATGCTTCTTGCTCTTGAAATTCAAAATGTTTACTCCTGAGGGAAAACACTTGATGTGTACACTTGCAATTCGAAACCTGGGGATGTTTATTCAACTCTCCAGGGCTGACTTTGCTGCGTTTCAGGTGTCGCAGCGCTGCACTAAGTCAGAGCGCTGGGAGGAGGCATTCTGAGCGTGTTCACCAGAGAGAACTGAAAACGGACGAGGGGGCTGTGTCTGACCTGCTTCAAATGCTGCACAACACGTGTAGGTAGCAAAGCAGCGTACGGTGCTCATTAGCACATGTCTTTGGTATCAGTAAAAACTAGAAAGCACAGGACAGATAACAGGAAACCTGGCTTTTGGAAAGTGCAAAGGGGCCTGAGCATGAGAGGGAGAAGGGAGGAAAGGAAGGAAGAGGGCATCGAAGTAGGAAGTTGTGCTCTGTGCGCGCACCAGCTCCCTGCAAGGGGTGTGATCACCGATGTACCGCAAGCCCATGCAATAAGGACAAATTTATGAAAGAAGCAAGGAATGCGTTCACTTTAAAAATTAAAAAATAATTAGAGAACGCTGCTTTAAGGTCATATCTGCTAGGTTTTAAAGAGTAATTTTAGAGATTTCGTTTTCAGCGCTTTTCACAGCGAAGTTTCGCTGCAGGAAAGCACTTGCTCAAAGTGGCCAACTTGCTGCATCCCCGCTGCCAGCTGAAGCTGAAGAAGAAGAAACGCAAATGTGGCAAAACTGTGTCACTGGGTAACTGGAAGAAGACCCATTTGGGCAGGAAAGAAATATTTGCCAAGGCACCGTGTGGGTGACTGGCCCTCCATACTGCATGAGGGGCAGCCTTTGTTTTGAGTTTAAGCATCTGCTGAGAGAGGGGTGTGCTGGATGCCCAGCCAGGAAGAGCTCACTTCACCGAGTCCTAGGAAATGCTGTGTTGATTGTGAGTTTAGGGCTGAGGAGGAAGATGGTGTGGGAGATGCGGTGGCTCCAATCAGCCAGGCCTCTCTGGTGTCATAGCTGGAGGTGCTGAGGACAAACAGACTGGATTGCTAAGAGAGAGAAAGAGAGAGAGAGAGAGAGAGAGAGAGAGAGAGAGAGAGAGAGAGGGAGAGGAGAGGGAGAAGGAAGGGAAAGAGCGGGGGGACCACCTCTTCTGGACATCAAGATTAGTGAAGCACTGCTTTCACTCTTACCGTGATTTTCTGTCCTTTTTCAGGTGGCTTAGAAATGCTGGTGACACACCCCTCTGCAAGGCTCCACAAGGAGCCACATTGAATTGATCATCACAGAACGACCTGGCAGCCCTGTCCCAGGGAGACCCCTGCCTGAGTGGACTCTGGAGCCACTCTTAATGTGTGACGGTGGTTGGGGCCAGCAGGTGGACATAGGTGGGCCGCTGGCCACAGGCAGCCTCATGTGGCCAGTGCAGCAAGGCACTAGCACGCCTGCATGTTTTCACACTGATTGGTTAGTGCTCAGACATCTGGTTCACACTGATTGGTTGGTGCTCACACATCTGGAGCCTGTGCATTAGGAGGAGCTGGGCCAGCTGCTGCTACACTGGGATACAAGCTCAGCCAGAGTAATTAGTCCACGAAGCCCTAGAAAGCAGGGAGGAATTTCTCCTATGGTGTGTGGTTGACAGATTACAAGTGATGCTTTGTTTTGGGGGAAAATGAATTTGGAGTGCTTTAAACCCAATTTAGATGAATCATTGCATCTTTGCATTTTGAGTAAGACAAGCGGAGAGGCTGGGAGCCTTTGTCACCAGGACTATGCACATGTGAATGCTCTTCACTGCCTGTTATTCATCCAACTTCCCTCATGCTTTAAGGACAGATTCAGGTGCTATCTTCTCCACAAAGCTTTTTCAGCTTATAAAAATTGCTATGATTTGCTGCTAAGCACTTTCTTGTCTATACAACAACTCTGTGAAGATTTTAAGGATTTAAGGAGTGAGATTTAGAGGTTTTTTTTGAGAGAAGATCTCACTACTTAGTTCAGGGGGCCTTGAACTCACTTTGTAGCCCAGGCTGGCCTCAAACTCACAGGGATCCTCCTGCCTCAGCCTCCTGAGTACTAGGATCACAGGTATCTGCCAAATCTGTCTTGGGCACAGGGTTTACTTTCAACATAACTGATAGAGTTGCTGTGAAGGATGAAAGGATAAGGCCCTTTGTTGGGTATGTTCTGAAGAACCGACGTCTTTATAAGATCTTCCCTCCAGATCCGAGAATAGTCCTGGGCAGGCAACACAAGCTTGTACAGTGTTTGGTATGGGGGAAAGAAGTTTATCAAATAAATGAATAACTGAAGCAAAGACAACCCTTCCAAAGGGAGACAACACTCACTCTTGATAAAAGAAACCTGTCTACCACCAACGGTGTGAGGCTATGACAGCACAGTTCTGTCTCCTGGTAGAGAAATTCCTGGCTAAATAGGCTTTTTGCAGCAGCGCCGATCTCACTGCTTTGACAGGAGACAGGGCTTGGGGCTGGCGTGGCAGATTTTGTCTGCTAAGATTGCTGCCACACTTGTGAAGTGCTGAGGTTGTCCTCCTTCCTGTGAGAGGTGTGTGCAGCCTTCGCCCACGGGAGCCCCCCACCTCTGCAGGGGTGCTCTTTGGTAACACTGGTCCTTTCCTGTACCTTGTCAAAATCTCCTTCTAAGGAGGCACCAATGAAACGCCTCATCTGGATTCTACAGAAGGTGTGGAAAATGTAGTTAATGGCACGAAGGCCAGCACCAAGCTGATGTTCTTAGAGGTGAGGAAAAGCTGATAGGAATCATTTGGCATTGGGGTGCTGGACTAGAATCGGGGGTGGAGAAAAGCAAGGACTGCAGATGCCTAATGGTGCTCCCTGTGGTCGGGGTAAAGGACTCAGAGACTGGCCATGTGAGCCACTTTTGCAGTATAGATCACTCAGTTGTTTCACGAACAGCTAGGATACAATTGCAAAATACAAGAGCAGCAAAGTATCCCCCAAAATGCTACCACTTCACGTATCCCACATCATGCGTGAGCAGAGGAACATGGGAGATGAGTCACTGCTCAGACTTCTATAAATGGTACAATCATAGCATGTCCGGGCTGAAAAATATTCTAGAAGCCCTTCAGGTCAGCTCATTTTTGTCTGGGGTTGTCGTTCTTGTCTCTGAGGGAAGAATCTCATAAGATCTTATGGTTGTGGTGTAACTCAGACACAAGGGGAACTGAGAAATGGATTCACGCATTCACTCCTCCACCTGCTCACCCTGCACACAAGTGTGGGATGACAGCTCTGTGTCAGTTTCTGCCCCACAAGTTTCTGGGGACCCAAGGGTGACCAAGTCAGTGCTTTGCTCTGCGGAAACGCTGACGCTAGCTTTGGAGTTCCACATGTAAACTTTTAAATCTGATGCCACGTAATTCTTGCTCAAGAACGAGCGTTTATAAAATGCTATGGAAATGCAGAGAAGGGAGTGATTTCTTCTGCTTGATGTAGTTGGAAAAATATCTTTTTGAGGAGGTAACACTGGAATTAGAACTCAGAAACGAATGGATGCTTGTCCACCGCAGAAAGGAGGGGGTGAGGGAGAAGAACCGTGCCCTGGACAACAGGAAGAAATGAAAGTGCGCCGTGAGTTACAGAAAAATAGAATGGCTTGAGTCCCTGAGGGAGGTGGGAAGGCGGACGTGTGCTCTCTGTCATCTCATCCAAGGCGGTGTTGCACACGGACACCGTATATTGTTTCTCTTTCTCAGTCTTGAGCAGAGAGGAGCGCTCGCTTCTAGAATGAGTTCGTAGGTAGTGTGAACAGTCACGGCAGCCTCTCCCACGAACCTTACTTTCCCTGAGTTAGGTAAACAGTATCCAAAGCCTGACACACTGTCCAGAGCAAAGACAGTTGGCAATAACCATGCTCTTCAAAGACACTGTGTTTTGGGTATTTTATTTTTACAGCAAAGAATAAAGAACAAGAACCACCACTTTTCCTCACAAGACTGTCTCGATGCTGAAGGATGTTGTATTTCTCATCTCGTCATCACAACCCATTAGGAACCACCCCTTCAGTTCAGCACTGGGTTTGACTTCACAAACTCTGAGGAGAAAGCCCCCTGGTGCCACCTGACCTTGAACTTCAGAGGCCGAGTTGACGATAAAGTATAAAAAAGTAAACCAGAGAAAACACTTAGCCAAACATGGAGAGCCCAGAATAAAGCTAAAGCAGTTTGAAATGTTCAACTTTAAGAGAATCATGAGACACGGAATAAACTTTTAAGGAAAGTAGCAAATTTAAAAACAGAAGAGTAAATCCTCATAGGATGTTTCTGAGGCAGGCTAACACACTTGGGAGCCATTTGCATCTTATTCTTGTGTTTGCATTTTCCTGAAAGTATACTACTTGGCAAAACGCCTCAGCGCAGCACCTGAGGATGGTAACGACAGCCTTCTCTATCAGCCGTTCCTTGCTCGAGCAGAGGCATCCGTTCTGGTTACACTCAGCTCTCTCTGACTTAGCGTTTCTGTGAAGCACCGCGCTCTCTCTACCTGAGAGGATTTTCATTTAAAGAAACCCCCAAGATTCTTTCTATTTGTCCCCTCCACCCTTCAAAAGTCCCAAGGATTCCCAACTCTTTAAACACGGAATTTTCTCCTTCCCCAGGAAGCATAAGAGCTCCCACTTGTGAGCCAGTAATATGGCACCACCAAAACTGCCTGTGCCAGGCTGTTACCCCTTTTCTAAAACACTATGTTGGAGAAGCCTTTTGGAAGTGGGTGGTGGCAGAAATACAAACCTAAGAAGCAGAGAGCCATTGTACGGCTAAGTTTTGACTCTTTTTAAATTTTCTTTTGAAAATAATCGGAGGGCCCTTGACATCCATTCCTGAGATTCGGCCATTCACCCCTACCAAACACATCCTAGGCCGGTGCTCCACTGCGGCCTGAATCAGCTCACTGCCTTCCTCAGCGTGGCTCTCAATGGGTGCCTACTGACTTGCTCCAGAGAGAAAAGAGCAGCTGGTCTTCCCATGGCCTCTACTCACCCTTCTCTCTGCCTACATTCTGCTAGGTGGTCCTTAAGGGCCCGTAAGTTTTATTCAACTTTATATAACAGCTAGCACACCCTGGGCACGGCATGCTGTATGCTATTTTATTTGAATATTACCAGTCAGCAGTATTCACTGGGCTTAATCCAAGCTTTGTGTTTTTCTTTGGTGGCTTTTAGTGAACTTTAAAAAGAGCATTTATAACTACAGGTAATGACCTGAGAGCCATTATTTGGATCAAATCACTTCACTTTGGATTTCGTAGAATCATGAGAGTTTTTCATCCTGGTCATGATATTTTCTGGTAAAGCCCTCCTTAATTTGAAAGCATTACTTTGTAAAAAAAGATTTTCCCAATCAGACTCATCAGTCCCCTGCCCTGGAAATCTCTTTTTGGAAAGGTTTCATGTTTAAAAAAATTTAAATAGAATTAAGGTGTATTATGTACATAGACTGACTGTCCGTGAGGAATGTGATCAATACGTACTGCGAATTTGTACAATAAAATAAAAATTAAAAAGATTAACACACAGAAATATAAACTTGCATACAGTTAGAAAATCATGCTGCCATAATGTAAAGGGTGTGCTATTAAAGTATGTGCTTCAACAAAGCAAGTCAGAAATGTTTAAAAGTGAGAAAGTCTGGTGAGAAGACAAAGAGTCCTTTGGGGACAGACTCTCCATGTTCTGCGGGCCACCCTTCTCTGATATTCTCTGACCATGCCTGGAGGAAGAGGACCTGCACCAGCATTCCCCCTCCGCCACCTTGCTGCTTTCTAAGCCATCTGCTGTTCCCTGTCCCTCCGCTTTCGTGCATCACCATGGCTGTCTGAGTGTATTTCCCCTATTGACTTGTTGGGATCACTCCTTTCCAAGTGCATTATCTTTCATTCATCTAGCATGAATTTCATTTTCTTAGCTCAGCTCAGAAAGACCCTATGAAATGGAGAGAAACTCAAGGAACCTTTGAGTTATCATAGGTGAGCTGTGATTTATTATTCTCACATGCACCATTTTCTGGTGCTATTATTGCTGTATGATTGCCCCTGCTGTCCATTTTTCTGCTTAGCCAACCTGTGGATGAGCAACTCCATCATTCCTGTCATCTGAGCTTGGCCTGGCATTCCTACTTCACTTCTCTAGTGGCACCGTCCAACTTCCACGATGCTAGAAACACATCCACAAAGATTAAAATGTTGAGAAAGAAAAGAGCTCATCAGATCAACCTGACTTTCTGAAACACAATAAGAAACTCAAACCCTCCAGTCAGAGTGGTAGAAAAATTTCAGGCAACACACACCTTCAGTAAAGAGAAGTTAAAACTGAAGAGATACTTATCTGAAGGCAATGGTACTAAAGTTATCCCAAGCATCGGAGCTGAGTTTCAATCAGCTGACCTCTGACACCTTTCATGGTGTCTCAAGTTGCCATGCACTTAGATGTAGAAGGCTGACTTGGGTGGTCATTGGTCTTCTGATGTTTGGGGAAGTCTGACTTGGCTGGTCATTGGTGTTCTGATGTTTGGGGGAGGCTGACTTGGGTGATCATTGGTCTTAT